CTTGTAGGGCATTAAAAAGATTTTTTATAGTATCTTTTACCATTGTTATGTTTGTCCACTTTTTAGAAGTCTGGATGTAAAAGAAAAATTGTAAATTCATATTTATGATTTTTTAAAAACAATAATCAATAAGTACCATACTATCCGCTTTTTTTTGGAATATATATATATATATATATATATATATATATATATATATATATATATATATATATATATATATGTATAGAGAGAGAGAGAGAGAGAGATTACTATATATAATATAGTAATCTTAAAATATAATTATAATGACCAATTAGATTCAAATGAGACGGTAGAGAGCTAGAATATTTACCCTAAAGTCTGAGTTCGAATCCGGGTTCAGGTCAGTAGGATGTCCCTGAGTCCACCCAACCCTGATGGGTACCTAACTCACGTTAGGGAAAGTAAAGGCGGCTGGGCGTAATGCTGACCAACCTTTCCCTTCATATGCCGAGGTATCTGAAACAGATACTCTACTTCATCTGCCCCATGTGACTTGGGCACGAACAAGAAAAAGATGATTATAAATTAGATTAAAAATTAGATATTGTTAAACGTGGATCACATGAAGTCCATCTTTTTCAGTTTCTTTGCCATACAAGGGATAGTGTGGTCAGCATTATGCCCAGTCAACTAAGTTTCCTTCACATAAGTCAGGTACACGTGGTCAGCATTATGCCCAGCCTCCTTAGTTTCCTTCACCTAAGTCAAGTACCCATCAAATTTGGACTCAGAAAAGTCCTACAGACTTAAGCCCCGGATTCGAACTTGAGACTTTCGGGTTAGCATGTGTAAGCTCTACCACCCGTCATCTTAAATTAATTGATCTGGGAAGTTCTTGACATTTTAGTCAAAATTGAGTTTAAAGTTTCATTTCCGGTTACCGGAAATCGCGGATTTGATATAATACTTACATATGAAATTTCATCAACCTAGCTGTAACGGTACTCAAGTTGTCGTGTTTACAGACACACACACACATACACACAAGCATACACACAGACATACGGACAAGATTGTAAAACTATGTTTTCCGACTCAGGGAGGTGTGCAAGATTACAAGACTTTCTCTATTCTTTGTATGTACGAGAAAGTAAAAAAAAACCGAACCCAGAAAGATCACGAGGTTAAAAAATAATTCGTACCAAAACTAAACTTTTCCCGCCTTTTGAGCACTCAGCAGCTGTTGTCTGTCGTCTGGGTCTTTGAGTGAGCAGACGTCAATACCAACCTGACGTCCGGATCCGCTGCCCTCTGTCCTAGCCCCTACCCACCGCTTACAACCCGCTATGTAAATTAATATTGATGTATTCGCAGCGGCTCACTGCTGGGTATCGGAAATTTCCCAAGTGTTAAAAATATCTCACACTCTAGTTACAAGCGTAGAACAAGTGTTTTGATTCCCGTCTGCTATTTAGGACTCCTCGTCTGATAAGCGTGGGCGTTGTCTTTTGTTTTTATTACAATGATGAGAGGTTCTTGATTTCTCTATAAGTTCGATCGTTTATTCAGTAGCTTTTCAGAAATGTAAATATAGAAACGAATGCTACTTTGTTTTTATTTCTATGAGAAGAGGTTCTTGATTTCTTTGTAAATTCGATCGTTTATTCAGTAGCTTTTCAGAAATGTAAATATAGAATCGAATGCTACCTTTGTTTTTATTTCAATGAAAAAGAGGTTCATGATTTCTTTGTAATTTCGATTGTTTATTCAGTAGCTTTTCAGAAATGTAAATGTAGAATCGAATGTTGCCTTTGTTTTTATTTCAATGTAGAGAGGTTCTTAATGTCTCTGTAAATTCGATTGTTTATTTAGTAACTTTTCAAAAATGAAGATCTAAATGAAGAATCGAATAAACAGTTTCAATACAAAAATGGTTGACGTAATATAATTTTATAAAATGGGTTGTATCTTTTAAAAATAAAATGGTAAAATAAAAAAATGTTAAAAACACAATTTAAAAATGACTAAATCAGGAAACAGCAAAAGTTGGAGACGTTTTTTATAGATCTCTTCACATATGACGTCAGACGCTACGTGATCTGACTGAATCTAAAAATAGCATTAGTACTTTTATTTTATTTCGTTGTTTTTTCCTTATTACAGGGCCTGTTCTCTGGTTTTTAACTAAACTTGACGCCGCTAAGTTATAATTAGAAGGTCACGAGTGAGTTGTGGGAGGAGCTAAGCAAACAGTCAGTCAAAGTACTTTTTAAGTCGGGCAATTCTATTACAGATAGTCGTAAATTTCCTAATTTAAGTAAATATTGAAAAAAAAAGTTTAATTTTTAAATGTATTTTTTAAAGCCAAAAATAGATATTTGTACTTTTTATAACTTAATTTAAATAATTACATGCGTCCTTAAGATTGTAAAAATGAGTATTTTGGGTCTACGAATAAAATGTATTTGTATCATATGTATGTCTAATTAGAAAGTAATCGTTTTACCTCAATAAACCCGTAGCGCTGAAACTTGAGAGACCGAAACGTCGAAATATCCTTGATTGTGATTAAATTTTTCACTGACAAACTAAAAATCTCACAAAAATACTATTTGAATCCATTATAATTTAAATATATACCACTAGTTTCCAAACATTGCTAAGTAATACATAATTATTGTTAAGAATAATTTCAATTGTACCGGCAAAAAAATAAAAATTCAGCACGTTTTTTTTATAGTAAGGGCTATAACTGTAAAACATGGATAGAGTGCTGTCCCTTTCAGTAGGACCAGTGAGTTGTCTTCATAAACTTTGAGCAAGACAGATGTAAACAAATCTAGGAAGTAATCCTACTCTGGGGTAACTGGATTAGCAATTAGTTGCGTTCAGGGAAATACGAGAGTGGGGTGGGGTGGCGGGGGACGACGACACATGTGACTGTTATAATCGTGGCTAGCAGTGGCATCGAACGTTTAAGTGGTTAATTTCATTACATCGCATAGGACGTTTCCAGTGTTTCTTTCAAACTTTTTTTCTCCGGGAGGGGGGTGTTTAAATTTTCCGGGGGGGGGGGGGGTAGGACACTGGTAAAATTAAATATTTCCTATATAAATTCCATTTCGGCGGTAGACTTTCTTCGCTAGAAAACACTCTGGTAGTCCCTGAGTCAACCCAGCTCTGATGGGTACCTGAACCACGTTAGAGAAGTCAAGGATGGTTGGGCATAGTGCTGACCACGGCATCCTTCCATGTGCCCATGTCATACACAGCTCAGCTCTAATTCATCTGCCACATAGACCGCCAGACAGGGGCGTAGCGAGGGGGGGGGGGCGGGGGGTGCGGACCGCACCGGGTGACACCATTTAGGGGGGTGACACCAAGGCAAAAAATAGCAAAATATATAGAGAAAAACTCGAGGGGGGTGCAAATCGAAAGTTTGATGGGGGGGGGTGCAAATCGAAAATTTGAAAGTTTGTCCCTGGGAAGGGTCTCTATGCCTCTGGGGGGGGGGGGGGTGACACCATTAAGTGCCGCACCGGGTGACACCCGACCTCGCTACGCCACTGCCGCCAGGTACCAAATGTTAACTTTTCTATCTCCAATGTATTGGGTATCGTTCTAGTAAATACGAGTCGGTAAAACTTATTGTTGCTAAACCGAAAAGTCTCGAGTTCAAATCCTCGGGCAGATGAGGTTCTACAGCTCAGGACGACCACTCTTCTAGGAGAGACAACTCTAAAATCAAACAACTGCTACCTTGTAGTTAATTCTTGGTTGGATAAAGACTATGGAAGCAAATTCAGAAATAAAAGCAGGCTGAGATCGAAGTCAACGGCCTAAATGGCGCATAATAAATTGACACGACACGACACATGTGTTAGAAGGCATTCCTTCCAAGAATTAAAAATTAAGATTCAAAAAGAAAAATAAAGCCTCTGAACAAGATGTAACCAGCCCTGCTTATTTTCTTTCTCCCTGCGCATATGTTCGGTCTGTTTTGCTTTCTAGCTCGGAGTTCTAATGGTTCTAAGAACGATAACTAAATAAAATCCATGTCTAATGTCCTATTTAATGGTTGTGTCTCTTGGTTCTTACTTTCTTCAGAACGTATTTTTGTAAAGATTTTTAGCAATTAGTTTTATTTAATTATGTAACTCAACAAAAAAACAGCACCATCAACAACAATTTTAAAAAGTGAAGAATTGAGAAACTTGTTTTTAAAAAATTAGATTTTTTTTTTCAAATAAATATCTGATAGTATTACAAGATCAAGAAAAATACTGTAATGCTAATCCACATATCAGCATTACTTCGGTTGTTTTGTAATTAAATTCACGTAAGCAACTAATTCTTGTAATCACAAAAATATTAAGTAGATGGTAATTTTATGTTAGGCCCAAACAAAGCATTGGCATATAGCTAGAGCGAGGATAGGAGCAGACTATAAGCTAGGTTAAGGGTTACGGTTTTAAGTGTTAAGTTTAAGGGTTAGGGAGTCCTCAGTAATGGCTATAGTTGGGCTTAAGGTTAGGGTACAGGTAGTGCTAAGATAATTGTTAGGGTAAAAGTTAGGGTGATGGATACGGTAAAGGCTACGGTTAGGATATGGGGTACGGGATAGGGGGAGCGCTAGGATATATGTTAGGGTAAGCGTTAGGGTTCAGGCTAGGGTACTGGATAGGGGGGGGGGGGGCTGCTAGTGTGATGGCAAGGGTAAGGGTCAAGGTTAGGGTACTTGTGGGGTAAGTGCTAAGATGATATTTAGGGTAAACTTTAGGGTGATGAATACAGTAGTATAGACTATGGTTAGGATACGGCGTACGGACTAGAGGGAGCGCTAGAATGAATGTTAGAGTAAGCGTTAAGGTTCAGGTTAGGGTACGGGATAGAGGGGGGGGGGTGGTGCTAGTGTGGTGGCAAGGGTAAGGGTCAAGGTTAGGGTACGAAGTAGATGACTTACTAGTGTGATATGGTAAGGGTCAAGGTTAACGGGTAGAGGAAGTGCTAGTGCGATTTCTAGGGTAAGGGTCAAGGTTAGGGTATTGGGTTGAGGGAGTACTGGTGTGATTGCTAGGATTGGTTGAGGTTAGGGTTGAGGCTAGGGTACGGGGTACTAGTGTCATGGCTAGGGTATGGGTTAGAGCTTATGTTGATAGCCACAGTACGGAGTTAGGAAGTGATCAATTTCAAATTATTCGGGTTTAACAGGATCTACTCGCTTCACAAAAAAACAACAACTATCCTTAGTACAGTCTCTCGTCCTGATACCACGTGATGCTCTCCACCAACCATTTCTCAGGCGTGACGTAGGCGCGCGTGGCCATGTCATTGGCCGCTAGGGTGACCCCTGTCTTGGTGGACACCTGCACATACTGCTTGACAGGCTTGTACAGGTACAGGTGGTAGTCCCTGCCATCACCCCCACGGTAGAAGGGCAGGGTTTTCAGCGACTGACCTATGACCTCCGGGTTAGAGGCGGTCGAGTCGATGGACCGGATGTTGTTGATTTCTAAAAATAGCTCGGAGTTTTTCCCGGCAAACGTGGCTTCTTTTTCCTGTGGAGGCGAAAGAGTGAATAGTGAATGTTAAACATAAACAGAGTTTCTTCCAGGCATCTCTTCGAGGGGGGGGGGGGGGGGGGCGGAGCCTCCCTGAAGAAAGTCTACCGCCCCCCCCCCCGAACGAGAGGGATTTTATATAGTAAACATACACTTTTAGTGTCCGCCCCCCCCCCCCCCCCCCCGAAAAATGTTGACCGCCCCCCCCCCCCCGAAAATTTCAAGTGCCCCTCCCCCCCCCCCCCAAATTTAATGGGTACCTGGAAGAAACACTGAACATAAATTTGGTTAAACCCTGGTTGGATATTAGTCAAACATTGGTTAACATGGTTAAACATTGGTAAATCATCGGTCCGATGTATTAAAAGTCTCAAGTATTAAAAAACGCAGCTTTTTTCTGTGTACATGATCTATTCATATGAAGGGATAGAGTGGTCAGCATTCCAGACAGCCTTACTTTATTTCAGTGTTTCATCCAGACTTTTTTTCTCTGGTGGTGGGGGGGGGGGGGGGAGAGCTAAGATGCCTGGAATAAACTCTGCTTTATTTAAGTCAGGTACCCATATGAGCTCGGTGGATTCAGGGAGTTTCTACGAACATGAACCCTAGATTCGAACTCGAGACTTTCGGGTTATAAGACGTATGCTCTACCATTCGACCACGTCGTGCTATAAAGACTACATTACCAGATATTAACTACCACATTAGCAGGCATAGAACACTACATTGAAAGACATCAAAGACCGCAGTGACAGACGTACCTTGATCTCGACCTTGACCCTGACGCTGGAAGTGTCCATGCCGTAGACGAGGCTGGAGCTGTTGCCCATGGTGATGTTGTTGTTCTGGTCCATGATGACCGCTGGGCTCCAGGGGCGGGTGTCCACTGACCACGTGACCTTCAGCATCTCCGTCGACTTGGCGGACAGCTTGCCGTTCTCAACAAAGTACAGGAAGCTGCGAACTATACCTGTGGTAGGGAATATAGGAAAATGCGAACTATACCTTTTATATAGAATATGGTAAACTGCGAACTATATCTGTAGTATATAAGGAGGTAAACTGCGAATTGAGGATTAGAATAAGGTAAAGTGCGAACTATACCTGTGGTATGGAATATAGGAAAATGCAAATCAAAACATTGGTATGGAATAGGGTAAACTGCGAACTAAAACTGCGAACTTCTTGTGGAATAGAATAAGGTAAAGTGCGAACTATACCTGTGGTATAAATAATTGGAAACTGCGAACTAATGGTCTAGTATAAAATATAGAAAAATGAAACAATAGATGCAGAATGGAAGAAAGAAAGCATCTGCGAATTATATTTGACTACAGAGACTGCAAATTACGCCTGTGAAAGTGTAGCAGCGAACTGCTTAAACCTACGAAAACAATCTACAATTACAAGCAGTGTTTATTGACAATAAATATTAATATTTCCCTTATGTAATAATCACCTTACACTCCGATAATCACTCACCTGTAGTGTGTACCTGACAATCACTCACTCACCTGTTGTGTGTACATACCAATCACTCACCTGTCGTGTGTACCAATCACTCACCTGTGATAAGTACCAATCACTCACCTCTCACGTGTACCAACTACTCACTTGTGATATATACCAATCACTCACTTGTGATGTGTACTAATCACTCACTTGTAGTGTGTACCAATCACTCACTTGTGATGTGTACCAATCACTCACTTGTGATGTGTACTAATCACTCACTTGTAGTGTGTACCAATCACTCACTTGTGATGTGTACTAATCACTCACTTGTAGTGTGTACCAACTACTCACTTGTGATATATACCAATCACTCACTTGTGATGTGTACCAATCACTCACTTGTAGTGTGTACCAATCACTCACCTCTCACGTGTACCAACTACTCACTTGTGATGTATACCAATCACTCACTTGTGATGTGTACTAATCACTCACTTGTAGTGTGTACCAATCACTCACTTGTGATGTGTACCAATCACTCACTTGTGATGTGTACTAATCACTCACTTGTAGTGTGTACCAATCACTCACTTGTAGTGTGTACCAATCACTCACCTCTCACGTGTACCAACTACTCACTTGTGATATATACCAATCACTCACTTGTGATGTGTACTAATCACTCACTTGTAGTGTGTACCAATCACTCACTTGTGATGTGTACCAATCACTCACTTGTGATGTGTACTAATCACTCACTTGTAGTGTGTACCAATCATTCACTTGTGATGTGTACTAATCACTCACTTGTAGTGTGTACCAACTACTCACTTGTGATATATACCAATCACTCACTTGTGATGTGTACCAATCACTCACTTGTAGTGTGTACCAATCACTCACCTCTCACGTGTACCAACTACTCACTTGTGATGTGTACCAATCACTCACTTGTAGTGTGTACCAATCACTCACCTCTCACGTGTACCAACTACTCACTTGTGATGTATACCAATCACTCCCCTGTAGTGTGTACCAATGACTCACCTGACGTGTGTACCAATCACTCACCTGTAGTGTGTACCAATCACTCACCTGGCGTGTGTACCAATCGCTCACCTGTGTGTACTAATCACTCACTTGTCGTGTGTACTAATCACTCCCCTGTGTGTACCAATCACTCCCCTGTGTGTACCAATCACTCCCCAGTCGTGTGTACCAATCACTCCCCCGTGTGTACCAATCACTCCCCTGTGTGTACCAATCACTCCCCAGTCGTGTGTACCAATCACTCCCCCGTGTGTACCAATCACTCCCCTGTGTGTACCAATCACTCCCCTGTGTGTACCAATCACTCCCCCGTGTGTACCAATCACTCCCCTGTGTGTACCAATCACTCCCCAGTCGTGTGTACCAATCACTCCCCCGTGTGTACCAATCACTCCCCTGTGTGTACCAATCACTCCCCAGTCGTGTGTACCAATCACTCCCCAGTCGTGTGTACCAATCACTCCCCCGTGTGTACCAATCACTCCCCTGTGTGTACCAATCACTCCCCAGTCGTGTGTACCAATCACTCCCCCGTGTGTACCAATCACTCCCCTGTGTGTACCAATCACTCCCCTGTGTGTACCAATCACTCCCCCGTGTGTACCAATCACTCCCCTGTGTGTACCAATCACTCCCCAGTCGTGTGTACCAATCACTCCCCAGTCGTGTGTACCAATCACTCCCCAGTCGTGTGTACCAATCACTCCCCTGTGTGTACCAATCACTCCCCCGTGTGTACCAATCACTCCCCTGTGTGTACCAATCACTCCCCAGTCGTGTGTACCAATCACTCCCCAGTCGTGTGTACCAATCACTCCCCTGTGTGTACCAATCACTCCCCTGTGTGTACCAATCACTCCCCTGTGTGTACCAATCACTCCCCTGTGTGTACCAATCACACACCTGACGTGTGTACTAATCACTCACCTGTGGTGTGTACAAGCCGGTACACCTGACGTGTCTTGGTGTTGAAGAAGGTTTTCTCAGGACCCGAACCCCCGCGCCTGGCCATCTCGGTCGAGGTCTGGGCCACTATCACCCCGTCAGGTGACACAAACACCGAGCTTGCCTCGATGGTGTAGCCCTAGTGGTGAGACAAGACCGTGGTGAGACGTGACAGAGTGGTGACATATTGGTGACACAGATTCACATGGCAAGATAAGTTTTAACAGTGATATAATTTCTAATGATAATAAATACACTCTCTATCAAAACACCATCCAATATTCCAACCTCTCATCCGGATGTAGCCTACATTTTTAGGTGTTTCAGCAACATCCAACGACATTATATAGGATATGGCACCCAACATTCAACATCTAACAATATCCAACAACTCACATCCAACATCCCAGCCCAACATAAAAGTACACCCGACCCTGTGCCCTATCCTGATGTACAGCTTCAGGTTTTCAAGCAACCATCCAACATCAAGTGCTCCAAACACCTGAAACATCCAACATCTAACCTCCAACATACAATATAATACATGTGGTAATGTAACATACAACACCCATCCCCCAACATACACATCCAGCATCCAAAATCCACCCCCAACATCCAACATCCAACATCCAATCCTTACATCAAATTGTACTCTGACCTTATGCCCTATCCTGATGTACTTATTAAGATTGTTCAAGCAACATCCAACATCAGGTGCCCCAGACACATCCAACATCCAACCTCTAACATCCAACATAATATGTGACAATCCAACATTCACCCCAACATCCAACACCCAAAATACAACATCCAACACCTAACCTCCAACATCCAATATAATACATGTGACAATCTAACATCCAACACCCCATCCTTACATCAAAGTGCCCCATCCTGATGTACATCGCCTGGTGCTCCAGCGACATACTACGTAAACAGGTAACAATCAAACATTCATCGCCATCTAGCAATTAAACATCCAATACCCAACCGATACATCAATTTGCACCCAAATCCCTATCCTGATGTACACCGTGAGGTGCTACAGAGACATATGCCAAAATATCCAAAATTTAACATTCATTCATTGACAATCCAACATCCATTACCCAGGTGCTCCAGATGCATCCAACATCCATCATCCTACATACAACATCCAACACCCAACATCCAACATCCAACACCCCATCCCATCCTTACATCAAAGTGAGCCCTGACCCGATGCCCCATCCTAATGTACATTGTCTGATGCTCCAGCGACATAGAACATACAACATCCAACAACCAACATCCAACACCCAACATCCAACATCCAACACCCCATCCCATCCTTACATCAAAGTGTACCCTGACACGATGCCCCATCCTTATGTACATGGTCAGGTGCTCCAGCGAGCCCTTGAGAGCCGTGCCGTTCTTGTCATGCTCGTACACGATGGCCCAGCAAGAGTCCGCGAACCACTGGAGGGCCACAAAGTCGTTGGTGTGGTTCAGCTGCGTCATGTTGCCTAGCGACCAGCGGGCAGAGTCTCGGCGTCCTGGGCAACAAGACAAAACAATTTTTTCATTCGATTTTAGGCTCTTCCAGTTCTGACAAAAAAAATGCCATGGTTAAAAGTCATGATTGGGTTAAAGGTCATGGCCGTCAGAGTTAAAGGTCAAGGAGAAAACAAACTACTCTCGTGTCACGGACACGTCCGAATAGCCGGGCAAGTCTCGTATCATCAAAATCCGACTAAACTATTTTGGAGCGGAAGCAATATCTTCTGAAGAAATCGAATTGATCATGAAACAAACTTCTAATTATGTCTATATCGCTTATGCATAAAAGGGAAATGCATCTTGATAATTAGTAAGTAACCTACCTGTAGTCTCCCAAGAAGACAGCCATTCGTATAAAGTAAAATTTTCCATTTCAAACCTGACGGTCTATGGGGCAATTGAAGTAGAGTTCACTTGTTTCTGTGAAACTCGGCATATGAAGAGATAGTGTGGTCAGCCTTTACTTTCCCTAACGTTAGTTAGGTACCCATCAGAGTTGGGTGGACTCATGGACGGTCTACTGACTTGAACCCGGATTCGAACTCGAGACTTACGGGTTAGCAGTCCAGCTCTCTACCGCTAGACCACTCCGTACCCAGCCTCTCCCTATAGGTGATGCCACCCCTCCCCCTACCTCCACCCCCATGTAGTAAGTCTGATCTTCTTCTTCTTCTTCGTTCTTAATTATTAGTGTTGAAGGGGGTCGAGATTTATCTGACAGTGGGTTTAAACTCGAGACTTTGTTCGAATTTATCAACCATGAGCTTTTTGCCGACTCGATCACGCCTCCAACACAATTAAGCGTTACGTGTCAACTAGTTATGCGCCATTGACTCCGATTTCAGCCTGCTTTTCTTTTTGGATTTGCTTCCATAGCCTTTGTCCAACCAAGAACAAACTACAAGGCAGCAGTTGTTTAATTTTTGGAGTTGTCTCTCATAGAAGAGCTGATGTCTACAATTATCGAGCCTCATCTGCCCGAGGGTTCGAACTCGAGACTTTTCGGTTTAGCAACCATGAGCTTTACCGACTCGACCCCACCGACCCTAGTAAGTCTGATAACCTACCTGTAGTCTCCCAAGAAGAAAGCCAGTGGTACGGCCTCTCCCTAAAGGTGATGCCCCCAGTGTTAGTGTAGGCCTGGCTGATGTGCCCCAAGCTCTGGCCGCTGATGTGCCGTGTCTGGTAGTCGATGTGGACGTTGTCCATGGTGAAGGCGTAGCCGCGGTCGCGCATCAGGCCTCGCATTTCGGACTAGTGAGTACGTTCAGGGGAGAGAATCATGTGAGAAAATTATGGGGGAGACAATCACGTGAGAAAATTACAGAAGAGACATTAATGGGTAGAATCATGGGCAGACAAACATGGTTAGAAAATCACGGGTAGATTCTTATAAGGAGGTATTTATAACAGAGAACTGACCATAATTTTGATACTTAAGAACTATGTTAAAGAGAAGAAATTGCATTATCTAAACCATAGCGATATGATATACATTTAGTATGTAAATTAGAGATAATGCATTTTTCAGTTGATTCGTCATTGCGACAAAAGAGCCATTCTATTGCTAAACATATTGCACACAGCTCTCGAGAAGAGTCACCTAGATCAGGGGTCGGCAACCTTTTGAAGCGGAAGAGGCAAAAGTTACAATTTTCAAAATTTCCCTGGTTTTAAAGAGCCACTAACATTTTTTTTTATTTCAAATATTTTATTTTTTGATTAAGATTATTAGTATTTGTGCAAGGAGCTGGAGAGCCGCATCTTGATATCAAAAGAGCCGCATGCGGCTCGCGAGCCGCAGGTTGCCGACCCCTGACCCAGGAGCAATCTTAGGTAGGATGTTCCGTCCCGACACCATTGAACCTATACTCAAAGCTTTATAGGTATCAAAATAAATGATAAATCAAAAGAGAAAATAAAGAAGCAAAATTAAAAGAGAAAATAAAGAAGCAAAATCGTTGAAGATACTGAAAGGCAAGAAAAGACATTTTGAAACAGGAAGTAACAAGAATCAAGACGGAAAAGCAGATTCAAGGAAACTGAAGTCTAAAGGCAAGAAAGTAAAGACAAGAAGAAACAAGAATCAAGACGTGAAACTGATTGTACATTGAATGCTATTTCATGTAATTTCAAGAAAAAAAAAAGAAAAAAAATAAAATAAACATGTTATTCATTGTTCAAATACCAGGCGCCATTTAGTGGGTATTGCTTCAGATAAGTAGAGTGTATATTTTAGGGCAGGGGTCGGCAACCTGCGGCTCCTTTGTTGTCAAGATGCGGCTCTCCAGCTCCTTGCCGAAATATTAATAATTATATTTTTTTTTTCAAAACTCATTGAGATATTATAAAGAAAAATAACTTTAAAACAGTATAAAACACTCATCAGAGAACAATAAGAGAAGGTGAGGTAGCAGTATACGGACAGCTGACAGCCGCTTGGGCACAATGGCGACGGCTCCATGCTTGCCACTGCTCATGTGCCGACTTTTCTTTTTCGAATGTAGTTAAATGGGGAATATTATTTTTACTCATAATGCATTTCTCTATCCGTCAGTATGTATTTATTTTGACCTGAGTGACGTGGTTTTTTAGTTATTAGCATCCTAGAGTTGAGCCGGGTACTGGACGGTGGGGTACGAGGTTACCCTGCCTTCAGTGGGTAGGAAGATAGACCCGGTGAGTACCGAAGACAGAAGCGACCGATACCCAAGTTAGTTAGTCGGAGTTGGTCGTGTTGAGGGATGTTTGGCTATGGGAGACACATCCTGGGCCGGTGGTGAAAGAAAAACAAAGTCATTGACTTCTAAAGTGGATTGGGATAGTCGTATAGTTATATTATTTGATTACTAATTTTATCATAGCAGAGCTAGCTAAAATACTTTAATATGTTTTGTGCGAAATATGAGTATGTTTTTAAAGTATAAATATTCTTTCATAAATAAAGCTAGTTATTTCAGATACAAAATCAAATCTAATATATAAAGCTCAATTCTGTAACGCATATGTTTGTTTGTCGATGGTTATCGATGGATTTAAGTGTTATAATATTATCGTGCGCATTTCTCTAAATTTATGAGTTTAAAAATTATTATTGAAAGTGTTGGGAAATCATTTTCATTTTTCAAATTATAGTAATAATTGTCGGCATGTTCATTGAACACAAGTTTTAAAAAAATATCATCTTTTACAACAATTCTAATTATGTCTTTATTTAGTCCTATAGCACTTACTTCCCTTTGATAAATTAGGAAAAACACAATTACTTCCCTTTACAAAACCATTGCATTTTGTGGAAAATAATTTACTTTTTAATTACTTTGTTTTGGTGTTGGGAAAAAAAATAATTACATAATTAGCGGGGATTGATCAAGTGCAAATGTTGTAGGTATTTTACGGATAAGCTTGGAGTATTATAATTGTTCATTAAATTGAAACAGGCGCGTTCGTTTAAGTGAGTGCAAAAAAACTATGAATAAGTTGGTGTACTATAGTCGTTTATTAAGCTAAAACAGGCGATTCCGCCCCGGGCGTTTATGTCCGCGTTAGTGTTTTCTTTGTGTTTAGGTGGGTTTGCGTTAGTGGTTGCGTTTTGATTTGGTTCGTTTTTGTTCTTTCTTTTTTCGTTTTTGTTTGTGTTTTTTTCTTTGGGTTTGTATTTGTGTTTTTGGTTGGTTTTGCGTTTGGTTTTGGTTTGTTTTCGTTTGCTTTTTCGTTGTTTTTTTTTTTTGGTATTGGTGTTTGTGGTTGGGTTTGTTGTTAGGTTTTTGTTTTCGTTTGCTTTTTTGTTTGTTTTTTCTTTGTGTTTGTATTGGTGTTTGTGGTTGTGGTTGGGTTTGTTGTTAGGTTTTTGTTTTCGTTTGTATTTGTAATTGTGTTAGCGTTATGTTTGCGTTTTGTTGTTTTGGTTTTGGTTGGTCGTGGTTTGGGTGAGCAATGCCGGGTTTATGATGATTACTAAACACACAGGTAATGGTCTTTAACAGAAAGGTTTTTCACAGAAGCCAGAGCAGGGCCTGGCCGGGACGGCTAGTGTATATATAAATAATCCTAATCAGATTCCAAAATATTGAATTATAAGTATTAGTGGCTCTTTAAAAACTGGGAGCTTGTGTAAATTGTAGCTTTTGGCTCTTCTGGATCAAAAGGTTGCCGACCCCTGTTTTAGGGTGGTGGAACAGGCAGCGTATATTATTTTTAAAAGCACCGTTCTATGGACTTTTAATGGATTATTACATTAACAGCACATTAAATGTAAAATCCTTTAAATTCATCATCAATGTTCCCGTTCGTGCAAAAAGACACATTTGGAAAGATAAAATAGAGTTCATCTGCTTCAATAACCTCGACTTATAGGGAGATGGTGTGGTCAGCACTCAGTGTTTCTTTCAGACTTTTTTCTCCCAAGGGTGGGGGGAGGGGTGGGGCACTAGATATTTTCGAGGGGGGGGGGGGGTAAATGCGGACACTAGTCTTTCTTCGGGAGGCAGAGCCTCCTCACCCCCCTCCCCCCAGAAGAGACTTTGGAAGTAACTCTGTCAGCACTATGCCCAGCTATCTTTGATTTCCTAACGTAACTCGGTACCCACCAGAGATGGGTGGACTCGTGGATTTCCTACAGAATCGACTCCGGGATCCGAACTCGAGACTTTCGCGTTAGCAGTTGTAAGCTCTTTCTGACGACCGGAAGTAGTATTTAACGCTATTTCCGTTTTTTCAATTAAAAACGAAAATGACTTTATAAAGTACTAATATAAAGTACTAACGTTCCGCATAATTCAACACATTGTTTGCTGTTCACATGGTGCGCAATTCTTTTTTTTCTACGAGATTCTATTCTATTTTAATAAAGCGGGATGATATCCCCTAAACTTTCTAGAATATTCTTATCGATAATTAAATGTTTAGATGGGAAAAAAAAAACATCGTGCTCACCTTAATTGCCATGGCCAGAAAGTTGTCGGAAAAACCGTTACTGGTGGAACCATCTAGGTATCTTGACGTCACGGGCGTGTGTTCGGGACTGTAGTCCTGGAATTAAGGCGTGGGGGGGGGGGGTTAATGATGTTACATCGTAGGACAATGACCTACCCGGCAGACATCTTTTGGTTTCAAATTTGTTTTTTTTTTTGTTTTTTTTTTGTTATCCAAAGTTTGTGAAATATACATAATTATGTTGGATTTTGTCAGTAGGCCTAAAGCATAATATCGTCATACAACATACATAAGTATCCGAAGTTTTGTCAGTAAAATATAACTAGATCGTGCAACATTCATATGTATGTTAAGGTTTTGTCAGTATAGCATGACGTGGATCATGTAACATACATATGTATGTTAAGGTTTTGTCAGTATAGCATGACGTGGATCATGTAACATACATATGTATGTTAAGGTTTTGTCAGTTTAACATAACCTGGGTCATGAAATAAACATAAGTATGTAAAGTTTTATCAGTACAGCATATTTCGGTCATGACGTATGACTGTCATATGACAAAGCAGCTTGAGTATTCCTGTATAGGGTTGATTTTCATTTACATCAGACACAAAACTTCATTCTGTTAGTCAGCAATATTCATCGGGAATATCCGTCACGCTCAGAGCTACGTGACAGTAAGACCTACGTGACAGTAAATCCTACGTGACAGTAAGTCCTACGTGACAGTAAGACCTACGTGACAGTAAGACCTACGTGACAATTAGACTTACATAACAGTCAGAAATACAAGACAATCAAACTTACATGACAGATAAATATGACAGACACATATGACAGACACATATGACAGACACATATAACAGACACACATATGACAGACAGACATGACAGACATATATGACAGACACATACAACAGACACATATAACAGACACACATATGACAGACATATGACAGACATACGACAGACACACATGACAGACACATATGACAGACACACCTGACAGACCTACCCTGGTCCGGAACATGATGGAGTCGACGGTCCACTTGTGGTCCTTGACCGCTCCGTCATACCGGCTGACGGACACATTAAGGTAACTCACCGACCCCTCAGTACACACGATCACCGGCTGCATCTCGGCTGTTGGCCCCACGGGAAATGACATACGATCCGAGCTCTGTTGAGCCAAATGTCACATGTCATTTACAGGCCTACCTATTTAGGTGTCATTTCAAAATGTTGCGTGTTAATTATATATGGCTAATTAATCTCGAAAATCGATCGTGAATTGTAGTAATTATAAACAAAAGTCAATACACTGACCACAACAATCAGTCTATCTATATATATAATTCTCTTCTTGGAGACGATAGAAAACACCAAGCTGTAAGCGCGTCTGGTGAGCCGTGGTTCACGCTAAATGTTTACATTCGTAGAGCCGGGTTTAGTGACGGCTATTAGGGGCAGATAATTTGGTCTGAAACGATTTTAAACTTAGGGGAGGTGACTGAGATGAGTTTACTTTCACGGGGGAGGAGGGGTAGGGGAAAGGAGGGGGGAGTTATCGTCCTTAACGAGCTTCTGATAGTGTTTTAAGGCAAATATTTTCAGTGGCAGCGTTGGTACTGTCGAAATCACAAATTATGAATTACTGAAAAGTAGAAAATAAAACCAGTCATGCCCAATGTTTACAATCGTAGAGCCGGGTCGAATTAGTGACGGCTATTAAGGGCAGATAATTTAGTTTTTAAACGATTTGGAACTAAGTGGAGGTAATTAAAGTGAGACTGCTTTCCGGGGGGGGGGGGGGGGTGGGGGATAATCGTTCTTCACGAGCTATTGACAGTGTTTCAAAGCAAATATTTTCAATCGCAGCATTGGTAGTGTCAAATTCACAAATTATGCACTACTGAAAACTAGAAAAATAAAACAACTCGTTACATTTATAAAAAGAGAACGTGGTGACACCAATAGCATCAAAGCTATAGAAAAATTTACAGACATCAGACATATTATATTGTCTTTCATCCATAATATAGAGCGGATTTTCATTAATTTGTCTAGATTTAACAGCTAATTGTGATGCGTACGTATTTTGATAAATTTGAAGTTCAACACTTTAGCATACGTATTATAATATTTTAAAAATAATCAGTGGCGTAGCGAGGTCGGGTGTCACCCGGTGCGGCACTTAATGGTGTCACCCCCCCCCCCCCCCAGAGGCGTAGCGACCATTCCCGGGGAGAAACTTTCAAATTTTCTATTTGCACCCCCCCCCCTCAAACTTTCGATTTGCACCCCCCCCCCTCAAGTTTTTCTCTATATGTTTTGCTATTTTTGCCTTGGTGTCACCCCCTAAATGGTGTCACCCGGTGCGGTCCGCACCCCCCGCCCCCCGCCCCCCCCCCCCCCTCGCTACGCCCCTGAAAATAATGACGCAAGGTGTAGGCCTACTGTCTTTGGTACAGGGCATCGGGGGCTGTAAAACATAAATAACCTTGGGTAGCTTTAACTGAAATCAAATTAACAAGCCCCTTAGCTAGAGTTAGAGTAGTTTTGTGTCGGTAACACAAGCAAAAATATATATATATATATATATATATATATATATATATATATATATATATATATATATATATATATATATATATATATATATATATATATATATATATCAGTGTAGTGTATACAAATAAATAAACACATTTCCTAAATATAAAAATTAAAACATTAGACACACACACATGTATATATATATATATATATATACATATATATATATATATATATATATATATATATATATATATATATATATATATATATATATATATATATATATAACATTTTGATGATTAATAATCATTTCAATAAAACATCTCATTGCTGATTAATAAATTTAACGTAATTTACTGTTCAAAACAACAATTCTTTACTTTTAATTTCTATTTGCTACTTCCCATATGAAATTCAAACATAATAAGGGAAATAATCTCAAACTATTACCCATAAGGGGTTAAAACCTTTGACAAAATTCAGTATTTACAAATAATAATTAGAGGCAATTGTTTTAAATTTTTTTAAAAAGTTAAATTTTGTGCAATCAAATTTTGTTATTCAAGAATTTTTGTTAAATATTTTTTTTTTCTTTTAATAAAAATCGAAAACTGTTAGTTGTTTCAAAGACATATGTAGTAAAATAACAAAGCACGCTATGAAATTTCATTGAGTGAGATCTTAAACGTGTCCATTGTTCAATTCTTCAAAATAATCAGAGTAAAAAAATGAAAACTGAACTCCCCACTCATCATCTCCCATACATCACCAAACAGCCTCACATCACCTCCCACACAACACCCACCTCCCACACAACACCTACCTCCCCACACATCACGTACCTGCCCATACATAACCTACCTCCACCACATCACCTACCTCCCACACAACACCCACCTCCCACACATCACCTACCTCCCACACATTATCTATCTCCCACACAACACCTATCTCCCCTTACATCACCTCCCTACACAATACCTCCAAAACATCACCCCATTCCCCACATATTCCCTACCTCCCCACACATCACCTCACACACATCACCTCACACACATCACCACCCACACATCACCTCACACACATCACCTCACACACATCACCTCACACACATCACCTCACACACATCACCTCACACACATCACCTCACACACATCACCACCCACACAGCACCTCCCATACATCACCTCCCACGTATTACCTACCTCCCAACACAACACCCACCTCCCAACACAACAACCACCTCCCACACATTACCCACCTCCCACACATCACCTACCTCCCCATACATCGCCTCCCCACACATCACCTCACACACATCACCTCCCACACATCACCTCCCACACATATAACCTACCTCCCCACAGATGACTTGACCGTTCATATTCAAGTTCTCCAGTACCAACGACTCTTTATACTTGCCGTGCCGGATAATGGCACGAACCGGTTTTCCCATCAAAATGTGCGTCCTCAAGACGTCCGAAGTTGGCTTGGTCGTCTGCAAGTTTGACCAGTACAAACGGTCAAACCATGGGCGCTGGCAGACGGCTGAAGAATTTACAAACACACATCATACACAAGTCACGTAACACAAAAACAGAAAAATATATAAAAAGCCAATGATTAATACTAACACAATAAAAATATTAGATTTTATTAAAATGTTTGGCAGTGTTAGTTTTACATTTTAAGCTGTTGAAAGTCAAGTTCCATTATCGAACCAGACGACCCATGGGTCAATTGAAGTAGAGTTCACCTGTTTCTGTGACTTCTGCATGTCGTCATTTCTAAGCCAATCCGAATTTAATTACCCTAACGTGAGTTAGGTACACATCAGAAATTTCTACCGATTTGTACCCGGATTCGAAGTCGTGAATTCCGGGTTAGCAGTCAAGCGCTCTACCGTTAGGCCACGCAATATCATTACTAAACAAAAATAGTATTAGGTAGTCTTCAAATTCAAATAAAGATTATAAGGCCTAATAAGACATATTTTAAGTACTAAAAACACATCCAGGATGAAATGACGAAACGATAGATACAAAGTCTGTGTAACAAGTGTTAAAACTAGTCTTATATTACTAGTAAATTATTTTCAAATAGCAAGTCTAAATATTGGAATTTTAATACCTATCGCCTATCTTAAACATAAATAAATCCTCCTTCACACAAAGTAATAAATAAGACGATTTGTTTTACTTTAAAAAAAAAACAAATTCTGTGATCATAAATAAAAGCTAAAGAAAATACTGTACTCTTTTGTATAGCAGAAACAATATATTAGTAAAAAAAACAAAAATATAGTTTTTGACTTCTTCTTCTTCTTCTTCGTTCTTAATTTTTTAGTGTTGGGAGGGATCGAGCCTTATCTGCCAGAGGGTTTGAACTCGAGACTTTTTTTTTTCGAATTTATCAACCATGAGCTTTGCCGACTCGACCATGCTTCCATCACAATTAAGGATTACGTGTCAACTTGTTATGCGCCATTGAGGTCATTGACTCCGATTTCAGCCTGCTTTTCTTTTTGGATTTGCTTCCATAGCCTTTGTCCAACCAAGAACAAACTACAAGGCAGCAGTTGTTTGATTTTGGAGTTGTCTCTCCTAGAAGAGTGGCTGTCCCCAGCTAACGAGCCTCATCTGCCCGAGAGTTTTTGACTCTTTGAATACATTTTTAAAAAAATTGATTAAAAAAAAAAACAACGGGTTAGTCTTAAAAAGCTAAACCTAAATTCAGATCTAAACATAACTCTAATCTCGTGGTACGTTAAAGCCAAGAGTTGCATGTACGGTGACTTACACTCTGAGTACTCAAACTGGTATTGTGCGCGCGATGAGTACACCTGGACACTCACCCACAAGGTCAGCAGCCACAAGGTCATGGTCAGCGATGGGACTAGAATAAAGATCAGCATATAACACACATGACGTCATCTACAACTTACAATAACATAAAATCGACATGCGTTTTTTTTTCATAAAATATTATAAAGCTAATTGAATCTTAAACGTAAATAATATTTTAGCAAATGATTTAGCTTTTATTTTGCTTATTACATACATAAATAAGAGAACGCAATTTTAGTGACGATAATATTTTACTGTGTAAAGTTATAACAATAACTTAGTCCCGCTGATATCCGCGAAACTATTACAATATAAAGTGAACGCGAGTAACATTATGGGGTAAATAGACGTGATTAAATACATAATGTGAAAAATCACAGTAAGTATTAACCAAAATAAACCGGGCGTAATCTCCCCTAAACTTTCTCGAATATTCTAATTATCTAATATAACACTACGTGAAATGGCAACTCAAAATATAGACATGATTTTTAACTACTTAAACTTTTAAAAATAGAATAGAATCTCGAAGAAAAAAGAATTGCGCACCATGCTAACGCCAAGAGAAAATGTGCAAAATAGTGCGGAATATTCTTAGTACTTTATAAATTTACATGCGTTTTTTTTTAAAAATCGGAAGTAGCGTAAATTATTACTTCCGGTCAACGGAAATTACTCAAAATTTGATAGATGGTAGAGGATTAGATTTTTACTTACATTTTATTTATCTATCTGAAATAGTACTCAAGTTATAGGCTTTTGAAAAATTCATAGTAAAAAAGTACCACTTCCGGTTATCGGAAATCGCTCAAAAATTGATACGGATCTACGATTTTGATAAATACTTATATATGAAATTTCATAAACCTAGCTGTAAAGGTACTCAAGTTATCGTGTTTACAGACACACAGACACAGACACACAGACATACGGACAAGATTGAAAAATTATTTTTTCCGTATCAGTAAGGTGTAAAACGTTGAGATTTGTAAAAATCTCGATTTTTTTTGCACGATTACAAGACTTTCTCTATACTTTGTATATCCGAGAAAGTAAAACATTTTTAATTATGCAACAGGAAAAGTGTTTATAATTGTGAAAAAGAACCCATGAAACAATGACGTCCCTAATGTTAAACGTTAACTAATGACGTCATCTGCCGAGTTCAGAATAAAAAGAAATGAACTATTTCATTCAAGTTTCATTTAGATCTACGTACGCTATGAAATGTATACAATACAATTTTTCCGGCCTAAACTTATAAAATTTATTTTATCTATTTGGATTCTAGATCTAGAGATTCTAGATCTAGACTAGATCTAAATCTACGCAAAAACTAGACGTAGACGCTAAGACGCTAAGATCTAGAAATAAATGTCTACATTAAACTATTTCAGGCCTCAATTATTTTATAGAAATCTTTGTTTTTTTAGCTATGGAACTGGCTAATTTGGGATTTTAAAAATAATTTGAATGAATAGGCATATTTGCGTAAGTTAAGATTTTTAAATACGACGTTCATTATCCAATAAGAAGCAAAAATAGCTGAGATCATGGTGTACTTAATTCCACCCAGTTGGTGCGGGATCGAGACACACCAAGTCATAATTAATTATTTTTTATTTGATAATCTTCCGATTTTAGACTATAAACAAAGGAACTACTTCATTCAAATTTGATCTAGATCTAGATCTATAGATCTACTCATCAAGACGTACGCTATGAAATATATAAAATGTTATCGGTCAAACTAATACAAATTACTTAAAATCAACATAATGAACATTGAATAGCCAGATTTTTAACGGAATCATTTAAGTCACTTAATCAGCGTGGTGCCTGTGTTATGTTAAATGTGTCAGATTTTGTGCTAATTAGTTATTATTTTTTATTTGTCTCTAATATCGTCCAGCGTATAGTAAAGCACATTGCGTTTTGACCAATAACTATTTCATAAATTATTTTTCTCAAACAAGTACAACATTTTAAAATATATAGGCCTATAATTAGAAACGGGTACTTATGGCTAGTAGAATAGAATCTCGTAGAAAAAAAGAACAACAAACAATATGTTTGTAAAAGTTCGGAATATTATTAGTACTTTATAAATTTACATGCGGTTTTTTTTTTTTGAGAAATCAGAAATAGCGTAAATTAATACTTCCGATCAACTGACATTAGGCAAACTTTGACAGAAGGCAGAGAATAAGATCTTTTACTTTTATCTATCTGATACATTACTTTAGTTATGGGCTTTTGAAAAACTAAAAGTAGAATAAATTCCACTTTCGGTTATCGGAAATCGCTGAAAAGTTGAAACAGAACTACAAATTTGATAGAATACTTATATATGAAATTTCAGCAACTTAGCTGTAACGGTAATCAAGTTCTCGTGTTCATAGACACACACAAGCATACATACACCCACACAACTTTAAAAGTACTAATAAATACAAGCATTGACTGCAGAAAAAAGGTTCAAACAAATTAATCAGCATTGCTAAATTGTTTTTTATTTGTCCTGTTGACATATGGGTAAATGGCCAAAGATTAGAGTTAGTTTTTTCATTCTTCTTCTTCTTCTACGTTCTTAACTCTAGTGTTTGAAGGGATTACATCCAGCACCATTAAGTCTTACGTGGCACACAAACTAACGGCTTATCCAAAACAATAAGACAAGGCACTGATGGAGAAGAAAGGAAAGGCAAAGACGTCATAAGATTGCTGACATCAAAGTCTGGGCAGGACTGTCCTTTACAGAACTACTCAGCGCAGCAGACGATCGAGACAGATGTCGGAAAAAATTTCTAAAAAATCATCTATGGCGTCACTATTAGGGCTAAAAAATCATCTAAATATAATGAGCGCAAACTAATACTAATTTTAGTCGGATTACTCTCTATACGCCTTTATCAGTTTTTTTTTATAGCAATATGTATGTCAAGGGAGACAACACCAAATTAAATTAGAAAATTAGAGAAAATGTATAACTAACAAAAACTTTAATCAATTTAATAAATTTGTATTCAGTATTTAAATTTGATGTTATTTATCTACGTCAAAACAAACCTGCATTTTTTATATAGAAAAATGACAATTTAAAGTTACGATTAAACATAGAATCTAACATGTTGTCAGTAAAGTATTCCTATAATTTTAAATAACGATTTTCCCATTTACTTTCAATAAGTGGCACATACATTTGTTACTGTATTTTTTAACCGGGATTGATCTCCCTTAAACTTTCTCGAATTTTCCTTTATTACAGGAGATGGGAACTCGGGATATAGACATGATTTTTAATCCATTTAAAATACTTCAACTTTTTAAAATAGAATAAAATCTCGTAGAAAAAAGAATGGCACATCAAGTGAACGCCAAATTAAATGTGCATAATAGTGCGGATTATTATTAGTACTTTAAAAATTTACATTCTTTTTTTTTTAGAAATCGGAAATAGCGTAAATTGCTACTTCCGGTCAACGGAAATTACTCAAAATTTGATAGATGGTAGAGGATTAGATTTTTTACTTACATGTGGCATTTTATTTATCGATCTGAAATAGTACTCAAGTTATAGGCTTTTGAAAAATTCAAAGTAAAAAAAGTACCACTTCCGGTTATGGGAAATCGCTCAAAAGCTTATATGCATCTACGATTTTGATATAATACTTATATATGAAATTTCATCAACCTAGCTGTAACGGTACTCAATTTATCGTGTTTACACACACACAGACACACAGACATACGGACAAGATTGCAAAATTTGTTTTTCCGACTCAGGGAGCCCTAAAACGTCGATATTTGCAAAAATCTCGATTTTTTTTAAGCACGATTACAAAACTTTCTCTATACTTCGTATATACGAGAAAGTAAAAAGGTAATGGGTTAGCCTACATATTACTACTACAAAGGAGCCAGGGTCAGAACCACAGTGCCACCAGACCCCGCAATGCGGTGGGGGGGGGGGGGGGGCTCACGCCATTTAGGGGCCCACAGCCAACCATAATTTCTATACTTAATTTTTTCAAAATGTTCTTGAATTTTGACTTGATGGTTGTTTTGTAAAAAGATTACCGTAGCTCTGGTTGGATTATCTTTATTCTATAGACACGAACCAAAGCTCTTGTATATTCTTTTTCCCTATGTTTCTAAACCACTGTGAAAGCCGAGTCCTCTTTCTCCAACAATCCAACTTATCAAAGATAAGCAAACGTTCAAACCACTTCCATGACTTATTTCAATTGTTTTAAATAGTCAAATAAGGATGTTCACAAGCTCCTTTTAATAGATTTTTACTAAACAAATTAAAAAGCAATTAATTATCTTAATTATTATTTTTTTAATAAATTACTTCCTAAGGAATAACATTGTATAAAAAGGAAATGTATTTAAAATTAATTATATAAATACAAAAAAACAACATAAAAATAAACTTAACACGAGACACCATTACTTATACAAAGCTTTCATGAATTATAACATTTTGACCGTCGTATGGCAAAAATAAACTTTTTTTTTAAAACCCGAACAGGCCAACAATAAGTACCCTATATTCGCATATATAATTATTTATATATATATATATATATATATATATATATATATATATATATATATATATATATATATATATATATATATATATATATATATATATATATATATATATATATATATATATATATGTGTGTGTATATATATATATATATATATATATATATATATATATATATATATATATATGTGTATATATATATATATATATATATATATACATATATATAGGGGGGGGGCCTAAACGAATTTTTCGGGGTGGCCCTTTTTTTCTAGTTCCGCCACTGAATGGAGTAGAGTTAAAATAGTTCTTTATTAACAAAAATTTATTTTATTTATTACAGTTTATTTAAAATAGTCTTTTTAAAATTATCAGCTTAATGAGTAACCTTGAAATTCATTCATTAGACTATTTTAAGTGAGCTCATGTAACTATAAACGTTGTTTTATTTACATAAGATATTGTAAGAAATTCAAAACATCATATTAGTATGT